ATCCTGGGCCAACCTCACTACCGCCGCCACACTTGAGTCCATCAATGATGCCACCTGGCCAATCCATCTCGTTAGGGGTCTTCCTCTTTTTCTCTTACCCTCCACCCTACCCAACATGACATCCTTCTCTAGCGACTGTTCCCTCCGGACAATATATCCAAAGTATGAGAGACGAAGTAGTTAAGACATAGTAATTCCTCACGAAGAGAGCTTCAGTAAGCAGCCAATCGAATGATTAGAATGTTTCTTTGCGGGTATGGCCTGCTTCCAATATACTGGACACTGAGGCAAAGCTTGTTTGCTCTCTGCTAGGTCTGGATCCTGCCTCTGGCTTGTCATCCAGACTTGAGCCAACAGCCTGCTCTATTGCCTGCTGATCCTGGGTGTTGTCTGCCATCTTACCTGCTTGACATGTCTTCCTGCTGCCTGACCTGATGATCTTGGTTCATCTGACCCATGCACTTAGGACTTAGGACTTGCCTGCCTCTACAACTGTGTGAACCATTTACTTGATAAGACTTTCTCTTTCTACATACATATATAAGATTCACTGGTTTTGGTTCTCTACAGAACCTAGCCTAAGAAAATACTCAACAAATGTATTCTGAATGTTGATAAAACGAGTCCAGTCTTTCTATCCCAAAGAAGAGAAAATACAGAAAATCAAAGATCTTAGCAAATGAAAATGGGCTTAAAAACAGCTGCTAAGGGTCTCAGCAACAAGTGGTTACTTTTGTTGACTCCATAAAGACCCACCTTAAAGTCTGGAAAGAAACTACTTGTGAAATTGTTACTTTTAAAGCAGCATATTTTACTTAATTTCTCCATTTCTAGAAAAACTCCGTATAATAGAAGCATAAAAATTATTCCTTTGCATTATCTAATTTTGCAGTTTTCTATCTTTTCTTTACAATCACTAAAACCACAGATATAACGACTGATACCTTCTGTTTCTTTTTCAGTCTTTTTTTCTCTTTCTTCTTCTCTAAAAATTGTTCCCAAGGGGTCAGTTTCTCTCTTCCTTCCAATTTGTTTCTGACCATCTCTTCTGCACTTTCTTTAAGACCTGAGGAAAAACATAATACATAGTTTAGTTAAAAATGATATATCATCATTCACTTAAAAATGCAATTTAGTGTGTCCCTTAATAATAAAGATATCTGTTTTATTTTTGAGTTGGGAAGAGATGATACAAAATTTGTTTCAAGAAATTATACAATGGTTCAAAATGCTCTTCTGAAAAAAGACTTGAGTAATCAAGATCATTCTGCCAGACAAATTCTAAATTCACAGAAATAAAACAATGCTAATGTGGCACTGTGGGCTAATGCGCCAGACTGCAAAGCCGTATGAACTGCAAGGTTGGCGGTTCAAGCTCACCAGCTGCTCCTTAGAAACCCTATACAGGGTCGCTATGGGTCGGAATCGACTCGAAAGCACTTAACAACAACAAGGAGAGTATAATTTCCCTTTTTCCCTGATGAGGATACTGAGACTTAAGAGACATTTGGCACCTCGCCTGAAAGCATAAAGCTAGAAGCTGCGTAACTGGAATTTGAACTCCTAGTTATTTATCTTCCATACTATGGTTCTGACAAAGAACTGTGGATCTCACAAAATAAAACCTAAATGTTTTGGGTCTCTGGTTCCTTATCTGCAAAATGAGTACAGTCTGAATCAAAGCATGTAACTCATCACTCCTACACATACCCTTATTGTAAAGAACAACCCTTTTCCTTCAAAAAAGATATTTTATGGAAATTTAAATATTTAAAATAACTAAAATCAGTGAGTGATGCTTGGATTAAAATGGGGGTGGAGAGCCTTGAGCCTCAAAGAAACAAAACATAAAAACTAGTTTCAAACAGATGGAATAGATATCTTTAAGTTCCCTTCATTGACTTTTAAGTCAAGACTTAATTTCCCAATTTCTAGAACTTAGAAAAGCATTAAATTATATGTCCATTCAAGGTTATGTAGATTTGTTTTTATGACATTCTGCTGGTAGAATCTCTGATTTGGTGAATGTCAAATCAGAAACACAACTCCCAAACAAAAAAAGGTTGTTTTTTTTTGAGCGAAACAAAACCCATTTTACTAAACAGTTTTCAGGGGAAATGTGGAATATGGAAAACTATGTCCAGATCTCTAAATGAATCAAATGTTTAACAGCATCTGGGAAAAGTGAACTGGAATCCTTATACTAATGTATAGTACTATTTCAATACAACTTTCTCCCCATATTTGGGAGAAAGAAGAAAATCCCAATAAAACACGCTGATCTCAAATAATGAAATAAATAAATTCAAATTTGCCTGTTGGTTAGTACATAATCAGCCAGTCTCAATTTGTATCTGTACAATACTGTATTAAGAAATTTATTTTAGATGGATAATCTTCAATGTATTCTACCATAATTTCTTTACATACAAAAATTTGATTACTTCAAAATACTAAACATTTCAAAATTTAAAGTTTAGTTTTTGTTTTTTCACCAACTACTATTTCCTGCTTACTTTTGATCCTTGAAACTTAAAACTCTTTTCTAGTTCAGGTATTATTAAGGAAGGTTCTGTCTTGTTATTGTTTTAAGGTGACTGTAAGTACTGGCATACTTATAAACCTTTATTTCATATGTAAGTGGGAAGTGACCTTTTGGAGGATATGAGTCTTTAAGAATTTAATAAAACCTATGGACTCTTTCCCTGGAAAAATGTAGTACTGAAAAAACTTGAATGCAGCATTCAGGGGGCTTTTGGGCTCCTGATGCATCCCTGTGTAAGGATCCCAGGACCTTAGACAAGGAACCCTTATGGAGTCTGGAAAATCTATGGGTAAAGTGAAGTTAATCTCCCAAAACCTCTAACTGATATTCGTAGCTTCTCCTTTTAGAACTATTGTCATTCTGGATCAGATAATTGTTTGTTGTGAGGTATATAGGAGAATGCTTAAAAATAACTCTGGCCTCCTTTCCTTTAGATGCCAGTAACATTCCCTACTTATTACACTAAAAATGTCTCATATATCTCCCTGGGGGCAAAAAAATCAATCCTGGGAAGAACTACTGTTCTAGATAATGATTAGATTATTTCTGAAGAGAAATAACCTTCCGTTATTTGTACCACTTAGGTGATGTGTTATTTCCTTTAGTAATTGATTATAATTGCCTTTTGCTCTAACTAGACCAATAGCAACTTAGGTAACCTTCTTTATGTTTAGTATAGTGCTCAAAACAAAATAAGTACTTAATAAACAATTAACCTATCTGGAAGGAATGATTAATATTTTAATCCAACTATTTGATCTCTCACGTTGGGAACATATTCTCTCCAAAAGAAAATAACCCAAAAATTGAAGATCTAAATAAATGGTCTTTATCTCAAAGTGGATCACATGGTTAAAAGAAATGATCTGTAGCACTATTACAATTCATAAAGTTTATTCTCAGGAAAAATTATTTTTTTGGTATTTGATTTGTTTATAACAACAAAGAAATAGTATCCAGTTAAATAAAGTCTTTACATTTTTTTGCAGGGCTCACATTAAACACACCAAAATAGTAGCAGGGCAAACACATTATAATGCATTAACACACTACTCTGTTAACATAAAAATGCTTTGTTCTCATTGTCATCATTAGGTCATTTAAATCTCTTGCAACAGATTCACAGTTGTTTATGTTAAATTCTCAAAAAATATGTCCATCTGAGCAGCCTCTTGGCATAAGCACAAGAACATTTTTAAGAGACAGTTTTTAGCCTCATTTGAGAGCAGACACTATGTGATGACTGAAAAAGCAACTTCATTTTTACTTTTTTTAGTTTCATATAAATTTGTTTTAAAAAATCTGAAGTATATTTCCAAGCATAGCTGAGTTAGTTAAAAACTTCAAAAATCCTAAAACTAAGGGGCAAAAAGTCCTTTCAAAGTCAACAGTGAATACAGATGACTCAATTATGACAATAATCATTTAAGTGCAAACCATTCAGAATAACTTTGGCAGTTTGCATACATACAAAAACATATGTAAATATCTTTTCAAAATCCACAAAAACAAGCAATGTATATATAGTCCCCCTGGCCTTACTTGTTTGAAGTTATTTGAAAAGTCTTCAAAGGACAGGACATGAATAACTTCAAATAATTCAACTAGGTACTATAATTGATTTTGTTTATAAAAACAGAATGTGGTGTGGGAAGGAGAATGGGAGTACACACACCCACAAACATAAAGGTCTGACAGAGAATATTGTACATGGGTATTTATTTACCTTATCTGCAAACACATTCATGAATGCGACAGAGCATATAAGAGAAAAAGTTATGAAAATTTCTTAGGCATTACCAAACATCTTGAGGGAATATGTCACTGGTCTAGGGGCTCAGGACCACAGTTTTGAGAGACACCACGGTTAATTGGCATGACATAGTCCACAACACAATGGTCTACATTCTACTTTGGTGAATAGTGACTAGGATCTTAAAAACTCATGAGTAACAGTCTAAGGTGTTATTATTATTGGGCTCTTCCTGTCCAGAGGAAATCAGAGTGATGAAAATTGAAGACACTTGAAAAAATTAGTCCAATGGACTAATCGAACACATGAACGTCAGTCTTTACGACCCTGAGAACATAAAACCAGATGGTGCCTGGTTACAACTACCAAATGTTCTGAAAGGGATCACACTGGAAAGTACTGGATACCATAAGAGGAAATGTGGAACGTAACTCAGAATCATAAAAAAGACTAGGCATATTGACCGGTGGTTCAAACTCACCTGCCGTGCCAAAAAATACCCATACAGGCTAGTTAGGAGTGGGAACCTACTCAATAGCACTTATCAACAACAACAACAGCAACTGGTTGGATGGAATCCTGGTGTGACACTGCAGGATAAGCACTGAATCACAATGTTAGTGGTTCAAACTCACGAATCACTCCTTGGAAGCCCTATACAGGGTCTATGTGAGTTGGAACTGACTAGACAGCATTTAACAAAAACAACTGGTTGGATAGAGATTGGTGGAACCAGGAAATATGGCCCTTGGTCACCCTCTTCATGCCTGGAACTGAACTCACCCCCAATATTCAGCCAAGTGGTAGATAGGTATATTGCTGCTGTTGTTAAGTGCCGTGCAGTCGGTTTTGACTCATAGTGACCCTGCACAGGGTTTCCAAGGAACAGACGGTGGGTATGAATTGCTGACCTTGTGATTCACAGTCCAGTGTTTACCTTACATCACATCAGGAATCCCAAACAGGTATATGGTGGTGGTGGTTATGTGCCGTGGAGTCGGTTCCAACTCACAGTGACCCTGAACAGTTTCTGAGGCTGTAAATCTTTAGGGGAGCAAAAAGCCTCATCTTTCTCCTGTGGAACAGCTGGTAGTTTCAAACTGCTGGCCTTGAGGCTTGCAGCCCGATTAGTAACCACTATGCTACCAGAGCTCCTTAAATACAGGGGAGACAATAACACTAGCAAGGTATGCACACCATAGAATGGTCAACCATTTGAGATCAGAAGGGCACCATTTACTCAAGGACAAAAATGAGAGGGATGGAAACAAGAAACACAGGGAGGAAGTGGGATAAATGGTGTTACATGGAGGGGGCACTGCGATCATTTATGATTTGTTGAATCTAAAACTGATGATCTCGGCTCTGTAAACCTTTATTCAATTCACAATAACAAGTTAAACAAAAAGCAGAAAGCATGTTTAAAGATTTCTGGTATAAGCGAAAACTAGCATTTTTTATTTAACTAAGACAAAGAATCTACTGAGAATATTTATGAACATTTATGATCCAATTGTTCTTTATGACTGTATATTATAAATTGGTATGGTGCTGTAGGATAAGCACTGCACTGCTTACTAGCAGATCAAACCTACCAGCTTTTCCTCAGAAACCCTATACAGGGTAGCTATGAGTCAAAACTGACTTGAAGGCACTTAACAACAATAATATTATAAACTAGACCATATAACATTCAATGTAAAAATTAGCTTTTAAAAAATAAAAAATCTATAACCACCATCACAAAACAAAAACAAAGAAATCCTAA